CCCCATCTTTCATCTGCCAACCTTCCTCCAGTTGTACATTGCCTGTCACCCATGTCAACGCATGTCTACCCTCTAGCACATGTATCATTTCCTCCTCCCCTCCAAAACATCATATATTGTGTTTTTTACAAGAAAACCCCCCTCTTTTTTTTAACCCCCTTGATGTTAAAAACAAACAAACAAAAACAACACGCAGGAATATATAATCATTTAAACAATCAAACAGCACATTCTGGAAGCCAGCTGCCAGCACACAGCCCTTCTCTTTCTATGAGTAGAGTCCTCAGCTGCTCAATATCTCAATGCCATCAACTCTGCCTCCATCTCTGGTGTTGTGCTTCTCTGATTGGGGTTCCATGTTCAGCGCATGCTCTTCTCTCTTGATGGTCTTAGGGTCCTCTGTTCCTGGAATGTAAGATTAACTACTCCCTCCTTTTTGTTACGCAGCTTCTACCTTTACAGTCGTGATATTCACAATTAGGTATGATAACAAATGTTGTTTGTTGTTAGGTGCCACTGAGTCAGTACTGACTCATAGAGACCCTGTGTACAACAGAATGAAACACTGCCCAGCCTCACAATTGTTGCCACGCTTGAGCCCATTGATGCTGCTACAGTCCATCTTGCTGGGGATCTTCCTCTTTTTCTCTGACCCTCAATCTTGTTAAGTGCCGTTGAGTCGATTCCAACCCATAGTGACCCTGTTTAGGGTTTTCGAGGAGCACCTGGTGAGCTTGAACCACTGACCTTGCAGATCAAACTGCTTTGCAGTCTGGCCCATTAAGCCACAGTGCCGCACCAGGACTCCAACCTTACCAAACATGATATCCTTTTGCAGTGACTGGTTCCTCCTAACAGTATGTCCAAAGTATGAGAGACAAAGTCTGTGCACCCCGGCCTCTAAGGAGCACTCTGGCTGCACTTCCAACACAGATATGCTTGTTCTTTTGGCAGTCCATGGTACTTTCAATATTTTCCTCCAACACCATAACTCAAATGCATCACTTCTTCTATGATCTTCTTTATTCACTGTCCCACTTTTGCATGCATATGAAGTTATTGAAAATACCATGACTTGGGTCAGGCTGTCTTTAGTCTTCAAGCTGACATCTTTGCTCTTCACTACTTTAAAAAGGGGCTTGTGCAGCACATTTGTCTAATGCAATACGTCCTTTGATATTTAACTGCTGCTTCCATGAGTGTTAATAGTTGATCCAAGAAGAATGAAGTCCTTGACCACTTCAATCTTTTCTCTGTTGATAAGAATGTTTTCTTTACATTGAGATGTAATCCGTACTGAAGGCTGTGGTCTTTGATCTTCATCAGTAAATATTTTAAGTCTTCTTCACTTTCAGCAAGTAAGGTTGTATCATCTGCATATCATAGGTTATTAATAAGTCTTCATCCAATCCTGATGTCATGTTTTTCTTCATATCACCCAGCTTCTCAGATTATTTGTTCAGCATACAGGTTGAATATGTATGGTGAAAGAATACAACCCTGTCACACACCTTTCCTAATTTGAAACCATTCATTGTTCCGTTCTGTTCAAACTGTCTCTTGGTCCATGTCCAGGTTCCTCACGAGCACAATTAAGTGTTCTGAAATACTTATACTTCAAAATGTTGTCCATAGTTTGTCTTGATCCACACTTTGTGTAATCAATAAAGCACAGGCTAACATCTTTCTGGTATTCTCTACTCTCAGCCAACATCCATCTGACGTCATCAGTGATATCCTTCATTCCATGTCCTCTTCTGAATCTGGTTTGAACCACTGGAAGTTTTCTGTCAATATAAGGTTGCAGCTGTTTCTGTATTAAATTAAGTAAAACTGCTTGCATGGACTATGAAAGATATTGTCTGATGATTTCCACATTCCGTTGGGTCACCTCTCTTTGGAATGGGCACAACCGGTTGGCCAGATAGTTGTCTTCCAAATTTCTTGGCATAGATGTCTAAGTGCCTCCAGGGCCGCCTCACCTTGTTGAAAGATTTCAATTTTTATTCCATTAATTCCTGGTGCCTTGTTCTTTGCCAATTCCTTCAATGCACTTTGGACTTCTTTCAGTATCATTGGCTCTTGATCATATGCTACTTCTTGAAATGGTTGAACATCAACCATTTCCTTTTGGTACAATGACTCTGAGTATTCCTTTTTTTTTTTTTTTTTGATGCTTTCTGCATCATTTAATAATTTGCCCAGAGAATCCTTTAGTAATGAAAGCCAAGGCTTGAATTTTTACTTCACTTCTCTCAGCTTGAAAAATGCTGAGTATGTTCTTCCTTTTTGGTTTTCTAACTCCAGACCTTTGCACATTTTGTTGTAATATTTGACTTTGTCTTCTTGAGCTGACCTTTCAGATTTTCTGTTCAGCTCTTGTACCTCCTCATTTCTTCCATTTGCTTTAGCATCTCTAGTAATTGATAACAATTTTATCTTCCTCTGTTTGGGTTCTGATTATCAAACCATTGAAGCTATGTCAAATGGGTACTAACTGCAAGTTTGGACATTCTTGTGCATCTCCCCTTACTTCATATCAGCTGGACTCTTTGCTCTCAGCTCTAGTCCTGGCTAGGCCCTTGTGCATGGGCTAAGGAGTCCCCAAGTCTTACTACACTTCAGACCAACCAGCCCTTCCTCATCTCTTTGTCATCTCAAGGTTGATGGGAGTCTATGGAACATGGTCAAACTTAGTCCATATCTTCACTGCTGCTTTCCCCCCATTTTCGCTCACATGTAGAACAACACAGTTACAAGCAAGCTTACTTGCCTACTTGTTTGTTCCCTTTGAGTTTCAGTCTTAGAGGGGAGTTTGTCCTAAAGGAACTTGATTGCTTGCCTTGATGGCTCTCTGGCGAACAACTTTCTTGTTCTTCTAGTAGCCAATCAGACAGCCTTTTTTTGTTTTTTGATTTTTCCTGCTGGTCTTTCTTTCAAGAAGTATCTTCTGTTCCTCTAGTGACTCTGGGCTGGTCTGCATGTCCTTTCAAGTGGGAATGTCCCACCTCAGAAGTTTCTGGATGGGGCTCAGGATTCTACTTAAGATCCTATACACTACAAAGGCTCCTCAAGAAGCCTCTTTCACTGGGGAAGTTCTATAACTCCTTTTAGGTAGTTATAGGTTGAAGATGGGCTTACAAACTTTCTGTAATCATGTTTCCTGATATTCCTTTCTATCCCACTCAAATGTCTGTTTAACAACAGTATGCAAGGGAAACCAACATCCATAAGTCAGTCAAGCATCTTAACATTATTTCCCCCTTTTTTACCCATTCGAGGCTATGCTTCAATCTCTGTATCCCAGAGTGTTATTGTTCCAAGGTTGAACATACATTACTGTTTACCTCTGACTCATTTATAGGCAAGATAAGATCATTTATTGTTTTACCTCTGTTTGTGGGGTAGGAGTAAGGGGTTAGGTTAGGGTTGACAAAAAAGAGGCTCAATGAACAAGATGAAGACCCTTAAGTTAGATTGACACAGTGGCTGGAGCAATGGACTCAAACATAAAGATTATGAGGAGGGTTTAGGGCCAGGCATTGTTTTGTTCTGTTGTACATAGCATTGTTATGAATCAGAACTAGTTTGATGGCACCTAAGGATCAGCACTGGACTGCTGGCCACAAAGTTGGCAGCTCAAACCCACCAGCTGCTCCTTGAAACCCTATACAGGGAAATGATTCTACGTCACTTAACAGCAAAAACAACATAAACTGGATGACCGAGGCCTAAGAGGCCTGAGGTTAATTAGTGGATCATATTGTATAATGCTGAAAGTTGGAATTATTGTATTGAAGGGAGGATGAAAAAGAGGAACTTGGTATGAGAGGTACTGGAAAAAAGATTAATGGGGCATAGTAGTCCTGGTTTGGTGCTGTGGGTTAATGCACTCACTGGACTGCAAGGTTGGAGGTTCAAGCTTACCAACCACTCCTTGGAAACCCTATACAGGGGTTGTTATGAGTCGGAATCTACTTGACACTTTACAACAACAACAAAAAATTGATTAGATTTGAGCTTGGGTGAATAGGCTTAATTCTAATAGGGCTGGGGAAGCTGGCTGTTAATGTGTTGAGTTTTATGTAGTGCTTGAGATTTAGGCGAAAAGTCAGCAAAAATTAGCCAAAAGTCAAGAAAAATTAGAAACAAAGTTTATTTTCTCACTCTTATTTTACTTTGGAGTCCTGGTGTGGTGCTGCAGGATAATGCACTAGACTACAAAGTCAATTTGAACAGCAACGTCAGCAGTTCAAACTCACCAGCCGCTCCTAGGAAACCCTATGCAGTGTCACTATGAGTCAGAACAAACTCAACAGCATTTAATAAATAGCATTTTACTTTCGAATTTTTAAAACTGTTTCTTGACACTGTTTTATGACTATTATTTTGTGTAAGGCAATTCTATTATGTATTGAAGTATATCTTACTGTATGATCTTGGATAACTTTCATAATTTCTCTCTGCTTCATTTACTTTTTTTGTATATCCAATGGAGATAATAATGGCACTTCTTTCACAGGGTTGTTGTTGCTGTTAAGTACTGTGGAGTCGGGTCTGACTCATAGCAACCCTGTATAGGGTTTCTGAAGAGCAGCTGGTGAGCTTGAACCGCCAACCTTGCATTTCAAAGAGGCTTGGTAGTCCTGCACATTAATCCGCAGTACCACACTTACGTCAAACTGTGTGGATTTGCAGTGGAGCCTAGCACATGCTCAATAAATGGGAGCTGCTGTTAATTATTATTATTGTGATTTTTGTTGTCTACCCTAGAAGCATAGTGAGTTACAAGTTGAGCTATTAACTGCAAGGTCAACGGTCCTCTGGAGAAGATTGAAATTCTGCTCTTATAAAGATTTACAGCCTTGGAAAACCTATACAGGATCACTGAGTTGGAATTGACCAGATATCATATAACCACCACCACCATTCTGCTAGTCAGGAATATTTGTTCAGCAGATCTTATTTTTATAACTTGATTTTTTATTTTCTAGCTACTCTGCTCAAAACTAGAATGATGAAACAGTTATCTGCAGCCACAGTTCGCCTCCTCTCAAGTTCTCAGATCATCACTTCGGTGGTTAGTGTTGTAAAAGAGCTCATTGAAAACTCCTTGGATGCTGGTGCAACAAGCATAGATGTTAAACTGGTAAGTTTCCTTTAGAAGCCAAATGACTTTAAAGCAAAAAGAGGGCTGAGAGATATTTCCTTCTTAAAACTATTATACACACACACACACAAACTATTATACACACCCCCCCTTTGTTTATACCCTAGTAACACAGTGGTTAAAACACTTTGCAGCCAACCAAGCAGTTGGTGCTTCAAACCCAGCAGCTGCTTTGCAGGAGAATGATGTAGCAGTCTGCTTCTGTAAAGATTTGTAGCCTTGGAAACCCTTATGGGGCTATTCTCCTCTCTACTATAGGGTCGCTGTAAGTTGGAATCAAATTGACAACCACTGAAAAAAGTTCCAAACCCATTGCCATCAAATGTCTTCCAACTCACAGTGACACTGTAGGACATGGTAGAACTGATTTCATAGAGTTTCCAGGACTGTAAATCTTACAAGAACAGATACCCTCACCTTTCTTCCTTGGATAACTGGTGGGCTTGAACCTCTCTTCTTGTGTTTAACAGACCAACATTTATTTTTAGCAACTAGATAGACAACAGCAAGTTTAAATTATTTTTATGACATCATGTTTAAGAATAAATCCTTAAAAATAAATGTAGTGTCAATTAACATTAAATTATATTAGCATTATATTACAGGAGATTATGAAAGGAAACATTTTTAGAACTCTGTCTTCTAAAATATCACTTTTTTAAAACTTTTATTGTGAATGTTTTCAGAATAGATCATCAGTTCCACATTCAACAAATTACATACTTTGTCATTACAATGATTTCAATCTATTCCATGTACCATCAGTTAATAGTATTTACCTCTGTTTGCTTTATAAAATATCACTTTAATTTGCTGATTTAAAATTAATATTTAATTGGTTACTTATGTTAACTTATTCTTGTATATACTCCCCATTACATTTTATTTTTACACTTAATCTTATTTCAAAACCATTTTTTAATTGCTTCATAGTTTTTACTCAATATATTGACTGTAAATCTAAGACTGTAAATCTTCATGGGAGCAGAAAACATCTTTTTTCCTCAAAACATTTGGTGGGCTAGAACCTATGACCTCGTGGTTCACAGTCAAGTGCTTAACTTACAGGACTACTGCACTCCTAGAAATAATTCTAATAGGAATATTTTTATATGAAAAGGGCAAGGGCCTAATCTTTTCTTAAAGTCTGTCATTTACCAGATTCTATATATTTATATGTATGTAATATTAGTTACTCCTTCAAAAGCTCTGTGAGTTTGCATGTATGGTGCTGTGGGTTAATACACTGGACTACAAAGTCACTTTGAATCACAATATCGGCAGTTCAAGCTCATCAGCTGCTCCTCGGAAACCCTATACTGGGTCGCTATGGGCAGAATCAATTTGATGGCACTTAACAACAACATTCCCATTTTAGGAGCCACGGTGAACAATGGCCATGTGCTCAATTGCTAATCATAAAGTTAGATTCAAACTCACTGACTGCTCCATGGAAGAAAGTCCAGCAGTCTGCTTTTGTAAAGCTTTCCAACTTTGGAAACCATAGGGCTGTTTTCTCTCTTTTATAGGGTCACTGGAGTTCTGGTGTGGCACTGGAGGACTTTTAACTGAAAAGTCAGTGGTTCAAACCCACCAGCTGCTTCTCAGAAACACTTTTTTTACAGGTTCGCTATGAGTTGGAACCAACTCGATGGCACACAGCAACAATATAATATAACAAAATAACAAAAATGTTTATGGGTAGTCCCAGTTGACTGCTAACCATGAGGTCATTGGTTCAAACTCAACAACCACTCCTCAGAAACCCTGTGCAGGGTTGCTCTGAGTCAGAACCAAATTGACTTAACCATAACAAGGTTTTAAATACCAGTGCCATGCTTGTAGGATTTTTTTTCTCCTTTATAACTTGCAGCTATGGCCACACACACACAGTAAGATTATGATGAACATTGGCTATCAAATATAATATGAATATCACTGGGTGGTGTAAACAATTAATCTAGTCAACCACTAACCACAAGGTAGCATGTTTGAGTCCATCCACAGGTTTTTCAGAAGAAAGCCCTGGCAATCTACTTCTAAAAACTCAGCCATTGAAAACCCTTTGGAGCACAGTTCTGCTCTGACACACATATAGTTGTCATGAATTGGAATCAACTGGAAGATACCAGTATTTTATAGAAATACGATCACTGTAGAAATTTAAGTTTTGATGTTGTCTGTGCATAGTTTCAGTACTAGAATATAAAACCTAAGCTATGACTTGAGATCCTTTTTTATTTTCTTGATTTTCCAATATAAACTTCACCAGTGAGCCCTGGTATGGTGCTACAGGATGAACACTGGATTGCTAAGCTCATGATCAGTAGTTCAAACCCATCAGCCACTCCTCAGAAAACCCTATACAGACAGGGTTGTTGTGAGTGGGAGCCAACTCTGTGGTACTTAACAACAATATCAAGGTTACCAAATTAGGTGTAATTTATTAGCTTCCTGTTTGGGCACTATTTGAAGAAAGAAATTTAAGATGTTATTATTAAATTTGCTAGTAAATATTTAAATTTCTTATGAAAGAAATTAAGGAAGAAAGTTTTACAAAGAAGGTTGAGTAATAATAATTACTAGATTCTTGGTGGTTGAGCAAAGTATCTTTTGGTTTTGATGATCTGTTTTGGTTTTTTTAGGGGATTATCTGCACAGAAGTCATGTCATTCACAGAGAACTTTTTAAAGTCTAATTTAAACATAAATATCCATGATACTGAAACCATTCAAGAAGCCTTAAACTGACTCCTTTTTTTTTTTCCACAGTTGAACCTGAATCCAGAGGTAACAAGGAACTTACCTGTTACACCATAATTAGGACCTAATATAGCTACAGAACTTTTACTTTTCCATAATAATGTTACTGTTAAGTACCGTCCAGTTGGTTTCAACTCACAACAATTCTGTATAGGGCTTCCAAGGCTTTAAATCTCTGCAGGAGCTAAAAGCTTCATCTTTCTTCCTTGAAGCGACTGGCAGGCTTAAACCGCACACCTTGTGGTTCGTTGTCCGGTGCTAATCCTGTGGAGCCACTGCGCTCCCTCCATAATAGTGGTGTTGTTGTTGTTAAGTACAGTGGAGTCAGTTCTGAATTGAGACTGTAAATCTATGCGGGAGCAGAAAGCCTCATCTTTCGCCTGCGGAACGGCTCGTAGTTTCGAACTGCCAACTTTGAGGTTAGCAGCCCAATTCATAACCACTATGCTACCAGAGCTCCTTCTCCATCATTGTAAGTTATCATAAAATTCAAGTAAATTGCATAACTGTTTCAGTTTTTTTTTTTTCTGTTATTATATGTGATAATAAATAGTCTAATGTTTTTATATACTGAAAGTACTTTTAATTTTTGTAGGAGAACTATGGATTTGATAAAATCGAGGTGCGAGACAATGGTGAAGGTATTAAGGCTGTTGATGCACCTGTAATGGCCGTAAAGTACTATACCTCAAAAATAAATAGTCATGAAGATCTTGAAAATTTGACAACTTACGGTTTTCGTGGAGAAGCCTTGGGATCAATTTGTTGTGTAGCTGAGGTAAGATCGTTTACATTGACTATTTTAGAATCACAGAATATTAGATTAAGAGGAAACTAACTCAATGTATGACAAACTATATTATGCAGTGTTTATATTCATATTTGTTGCAGGAAAAAGGGGGTTAGTATCCCAGTGGATTGGACTAAAAATGTATTAAATTTAAATTGGTTCTTTACTGGAAGACTTCTCAGAGTATTCACTATCTATATTAATATGTATTGTGATTCTCTAAGATGGGTTGTTTATAGTAACCGTATTTCCTTCTACCTAGTTGACGATGAAACCCATTTATTAATACATACACAATTGACCCTTGAACAACAGGTTTTTAAACTGAACCAGTCCACTTGAATGTGGGTTTTTAAAAAATGAGCGCCGTGTGATGCTAATCATTCCCACGTGAGTAAGGTGTCTCTCTAGTAAATTATGTATTGCAGTAAAAAGTGATCTTTCTGGAAACAGTGGCATGGGTGAGAAATGGTGTTACTATCTCATTGTCTGGGCTCGGGACATCCACTTAGTAGCTCAGTCACTCCAGCAGTGTTGTAGTCATCATTTCGTGTGGAAAACCCTTCTGCTTTGGAGTGCTGGCATGTGTAGATTTTAGACTTTTTTTGTGGATAGGATCCCAGCTGCATATTCACTTACTCACTGACATTTAAGGTTAGAAGTTGGTGTCTGTGCGTGTATGTTGGGAAATGGGTTGGTAGTTAAGTCGAGATCTTGCTATTGGAACACAGAGGGCTAGATTCCGTTGCCTAGTAGAATCCAGGTGTTTATGCATCATTAAAGGAGAAAAGACCTTAAAATTTCTGTACAAAACCCAGCACACCTGTACTTTTTCTTTATCAGCACTGGCTTTGTTTAAAGTTCACTGAATCTCCAGATAGATTTTGGAGAAGACCAACTGGACATTGGACATGTTTCTCCCTAAAAACTATGTATAGGAACATATAGCTCTGGGATCTTTTTTGCATCTGGGAACCTCTGAAGTTCCCACTAGTATATTTGAGTTCTTAGTTGGCTACTTTGTTGTTGTTGTTGTTAAGTGCCGTTGAGTCGTTTCCGACCCATAGCGACCCTGTACAGGGTTTCCAAGGGTGTAAATCTTTACGGGAGTAGAAAGCCTTATCTTTCTCCCGCGGAGCGGCTGGTAGTTTCGAACCGCTGACCTTAAGGTTCGCAGCCCGATTCGTAACCACTACGCTAGCAGAGCTCCTTAGTTGGCTACTTTACAAATTATAATTTTTTTTTTTGAGAACGTAAGTATTTGAAGTTTGGGCTGTTGTCCAAACCTACCAGAAAGCCTTAAAGCTTTATTGCAGTAGAGTATTATTAGAAAATAGAGAATCTGGAATTTATTTAGTTTCTATAAAATTTGTCTAACCTTTCAGAGCTTCATCGGTCATTATCCGCTTTGTCTGCTAGATGGCAGCACTGCGCTTGGTCTTTTACAATATGTTGCACATAAACTGTGTGATTTATCCACATCTTCACTGCAGTTTTGATTTTAGATGGCAGCTCTGCAAGTTTTTGTCTAATAGTCAATCTCTATTTTGTTGATTTGATTACTTAAGCCCATTTGAGATCCTGCTTTACTATTTTAGTGTGTGTTTAATTTTTGAGACTTTCAAATGCCTTAACTAAAAATATTTAAAATAATTTTGCACAATTCTTTTAATAGTATTAAAATAGAAAATTATGAACTTTAAAAAATATCTGGTTTAAACATTGCAAGTCAAGAGTTTATCATAGAAAATATTCCTAAAGCATTTTATGGACTCTCCTCTTTTGTTATTCTTTGAGAAAACCTACACCACACACACACACACACACACACATGCTCATAGAGCACAATTAATCTTTATATGCTGTTCTTCTTAAGTGCTATTGAGTCTGTTCTGACTCATGGTGACCCTGAATATGGTTTCTGAGGCTTTAAATTTTGATGGGAGCAAAAAGCCTCATCTTTCTCCTACAGAGCAGCTAGTGGGCACTAATTGCCCACTTTGTGGTTTACAGTCCAGTGCTTATCCTACGGAGCCACCACATTCCTAATCCTTACATATATATCTGTATTTCAAACCAAGATAAAGAACATCATCAGTACTCCAGAATGTTCTTTTATGCCCCCTCCCAGTCATTATCCCTTAAAGGGAACCACTATTCTGACCTCTATCAATATACATTAGTTCGACATGTGCTTGATATGAATTGAATTCTACAGTATGTTAATTTTATCAACAACAGATATTTTGATGATGGTTTAGGTTTGATCATGCCTTAAAACTGAAGTAAATATCATTGGATTGGAACATACACTGGAGCACTGCCCAGATAATCCCCTCAGGACTGAAGCATACATTGCCTCATCTGCCAAGAGTGTTAGGGACTGAGTGCTCAAAGCTGAGCTTTCTGCTGATGCTTGTCCTTACCTCAACTAAAGGAGGAGAGCTACTTTATCAAGGTTATGCCTATTTTGGAGTCTTGGTGTGGTGCTGTAGGGTAATCAAGGTTTGCAGTTCAAACCTACCAGCCTCTCTTCAGAAACCCTATACAAGCTCAGTATGAGTTGGAACTGACTCCATGGCACTCAACAACAACAGTGTGCTTCCTTGCTGGAGGTAGTCGACACCTAGTAACTGGTTGATGCAAGATCGTAAAGGCCTTCTTCTAATTCAAGACGGTGCTGTAGGGTGCCCCATGGGGTCAGCTGAGGCCTATTTTGTGATGGTGGCACAGCCCTGCTTCTGCCCTACTTTCTTCACTGCCCCACAGGTGATCATGCTGAGACTACTCTCCAATACATTTCTTGCTCACTAATCTCTGTTTATGGACTCCTAGTGTGGCACAATAGGATCAGCTCTAGACCTCAAACTACAAGGTTGTCAGTTCAAACACACCAGCTGCTCCTCAGAAACCCTGTACAGGGTCGCTATGAGTGGAAACCGACTCAACAGCACTTACAACAATGGTAGTTGACTTCCTGGGGAAACCAACCTACAAGTTAGGTCAGTCTCCCCATATTACTAATGAAGACCACTGATGTCCTATAAAGCCAAATGCCGGGACATCTCATCCCAAGTTCAAAACACAGACTGGTAAGTCAACAAATTCTCCATGGTCTATTCTGCAGGTAATTTACCTCAGAGAAACTGTGCATACTGAAATAAACTATGAAAATTGTAACCTATTCAGGAACACATAGTGTGTCCATAGCAAAGCCAAGAATTCAGTTCCAATTTCACGCTTCACAGTAGGTCATGCTACCTTCTTGCTAGCATGGTAGAAAGGTATTTATACGTTTAAAAATACCTTCATATTAAAATAATTAAGTATACCCAGGCATGCAGTGGTAAACCCAATAAATAGGTTATTAGGCGTAGTCAAGTTGAAACTTTTATGTGGGAGGACATTGAAAAATACCGAAATCTGCTTATGTACATTAAGATCCATTACATTCAAAAATACATGTTATTCAGGAAAACAAAAAGTGTTCTTTGGGGATAAAAGTGTACTTTTAAAAATTAATAACTGTTTGCAATAACCCAAAAAGAATGAGGTTTCATACATAGGAATTACGTATTTTCAGGACTGATTTATTTTGGAAATTTTTGAATACAGATATATTGATAGAGCAAAAATAAGTGATTTGGTTATTTTATCTACCAAACTGACTGATGGATTGATTTTAAAGTTTTATGCAGATGTAAACCATTTAGTAAATGATAATATGTATTTGAGATGTATCATCTAAAACTTAATGTTGTTGAAGTTATCTTTTGTTTGATTTTTTAAAAGATGTTAATAAACATTAAGTATACCTTCAGTCAAATTGGCTGATAAATTTAAAATACATCTAACTTTGTATTCTTTATGTACTTGAAAAGAGTGAACAATTGAAAACTTTTTATAATTTTTCATTTATAAAATGCTTAGAATTAAACAGATTAAAGGAAGAAAACATTCTTTTTAGGTCTACAGAGAAAACTATTGGTATTTAAAAATAGAATTGCTACTTCCATAGCCTACAAGTGTAAGGATATCAGTGACTGACACAAAATGACAGAAACTCATAGTTCTTTGTAAAGCAGTAATTTTTGCTGTATTTGTCTTTCCTGATTGTTAAAATACTAAGCATGCTGACTAGAGATAGTGAGAATTCTGTTTTAACTGGTTCACAAAATATTTATTAAGAATACTTATATGTATAATTCTTTTCATATCAGTTCATTTGTGTCAGTCACTGATAGCCTTGCATTCACCATGGGCTATGGAAACAATGATTCTATTTTTAGATACCAGTAGTTTTCTCTCTATACATGAAAGAATGTTTCCCATCTTTGGACTGTTTAATTCTAAGGTTAGAAGTAATTTTATCATTGAAAATTAGACAAATTACTGATATTTTGTATATCTGACATTAAGCATCAGTATTTTTCCCTCTAAAGATATGTTTTAAAACTCATTTTTAAACTTTTAAACTGGACTTTAAGTGAAGGCTAAATGATTCTTCCACTGTAGGAGGAATACAGAACAGTTTTGTTTCCTTAAAATCAGAACAAAGCCTGAACTAGAAGTCAGAAGTCTAATTTTAAATCCCAAGTATTTAAATAAGACCTGGACAGATGCATAAAACAGGTTAACCTTTCTGAGGTTTTTTTCCCATCTACTTTCTTTTTCATCTGTAAAGTGAGAATAATAATTTGATGGTCAAAAGAAATATGTACTAAAGCATGATGTGACACTATAGGATAAGCAATGGACTGCTAACTGCAAGTCAGTTCAAATTCACAAGCCGCTCCTCTAAAACTCTGTACAGGGTTGCTATGATTAGGAACCAACTTGACAACATGTAACAATAACCACAAAACTAATACAGCATCTTGAGTATTATCATGTGCCAAACAAACGAAGTTCTTACAACTTTGGACTTGAATATGAATAGTAATATTCATTGATAGCAAATGAGAAGCTTATTCATTCTGCTTTGGAGA